CATTTATTTTACGTCTCCGTCTTTACGACAAACGTTCTGGAAAATATTAGCGTTTCGTGTTCGTTTTGACTTCGTGTGGACGGGGCCTAAGTCTGCTGTATAAAACCTGGAACTCAACGCTATTTCTGACATTTTGGATTGAAAAAGCTTCCTGAATGGGAAGAGAAACGTTTTCAAACTGGAGTGGATTGTTTTTTTGTTGTTGTTTTAAATGACTATGACCTGGATGACTGAGAATCTCCACCAGCATTCTGAGATAATGGTAGTTTTATGAGGCATGAGCAGCTAGTTAACAGAAGGAGCCTTGCAGCTAGCGCTACGATAAAGAGCATTCACTGCAGCTTAGAAAGTTAGCTGATATAGTTTATAGTTTTTTATATATATATATATATATACGTATATACTTCTAAATCGTAGCAGTAACCATAGTAGTGACAAACTACGATTAAATGTGGCCTAAGAAAGGTCAATTTGTTCCACTGCCTGTCATGAACTGTTTATACCAGAGGAAGTTTTCCAGGCCAAGGACCCCAAACTGATGGTTAGATGGAGCGGACCCCCTAATTATATATATTGTATGATGTTGTGCTATATGTAGCTGGTCCTATAGACCCTCTATTTCAGATGGAGTAATGTAACTAAAGTAATTTCTCTCTGGGATTATTAAAGTATTTCTGATTCCTGGTTGATGGGACAGGTGTTGTGAATGAAACGGTGTCCAGCTTGAAAGAGCTCCTGTGTGTCTCTGAATGTGAGCATTGATGACTGAAAGACACGTACAACCCATTTCTCCTTATATACACCCTGTTTAAAATGTGCAGCGGGCCGCTGTGACAGCAAATCCCATAATGCTTTGCAAGGAGAGCAAAGCATTCTGGGATATATCTGCCTCTTCTGAGGGTTTTTCTTCTTATACACTTCTTAGACACTTTGTCTCTTACGACCGTCGGCCATTTTCAAAGAACCGCGGTGAGAAAGGTGAGCTTCAACGACCGTCTGAAACCGTAGCTCACCACAGATTTACGTCTAAAAGTGCGCAGAAAGAGATCGCTAACGGGGGTTAGCACGTAGGACGACCTTACATAAACAAATCACCAGAATGATTGACAATTACTAGGACAGCTTAATTAGTTGATCCAGCCGGAAATAAAAGATCTTCTTCTATACCTTTAAATAAAAACGCTTTTTTTTTTTTTATTGTTGGTTTGTATTTTAAAATTGAAGAAACTAGTGATTTAGGAATCAATTCATTAAAGAAGTTTATTGGACGTGTTTGCCATTGCCTCTACATGATGGTGCCAGGCTTCAGATTCTCAGTTTTCTTTCATAACGACCAGCCGTTTCTCCTGAGAAACTCTCTAAAGTCTGGTTCTATAGATCTAGATTGTTTCTTTCTCTGCTGCCACTCTGCTTTCTTTCTATTGGCTGGTAACTCAGTGCATGGATGACTTCTCTTGCAGCGCAACAAAGACTCCCTGAGGGACCTCGCCGAGGGCCAGAAGGTGATCTGTAAACATAAAAATGGCCGTTACTACCACAGCGAAGTAGTGGAGCTGACCACGGCTACGTTCTACGAGGTGGTGTTCGACGACGGCTCATACAGCGACAACCTCTTCCCAGAAGACATAGAGGTTGGTACTGGAGCTACTTGATGAGCCAGAAATGATCAGAGCTCACTTACTTCTTTGGATGCTTGTTTCTTGTTTTGATTATAACATCCAGCAGATTTAAGCCTCACAATACTTAGAAATGTTAATAGAATAGACATCCATTATCTGTTCTAGGTTTTGTTCCTCTCTTCTTCTCCCTTTTCTTGACACACCTAATATTATCAGCGTTCTGATGGCATTTTAGCCAAAGGATTTTTATCAAAAACATAATGTGCGGAAATAAGGAATAGTTTTATTAACTATACATGTAAGCAGAGTTTTAGGCAGCTGCCTAGTATTGCCTGATGGTAAATGTCCCTCTGCCCTGGTTGAAAGTGAGCGTTTTGGTTGTGTGTGTTTGCAGAGCCATGACTGCGTCCGCCTCGGCCCCCCGTCTGAAGGTCAGCCCGTCCAGGTGCGCTGGACAGACGGCCTTTTATATGGAGCCAAGTTCGTAGCGTCGCACTCTGTCCCCATGTATATGGTAAACCCGCCACTGTTTGTCCAAATTCTCTCAGCATCTTGTTGACTTTTACTCACCCTACTGAGTGCGTGTTTCAGGTGGAGTTCGAGGACGGATCCCAAATCACAGCGAAGAGGGAAGACATCTACACCCCGGACGAGGATTTACCCAAACGAGTCAAGTCACGCATGGTGAGCTGGAGCTTTTCTTCGGTTTGTGTTCCTGCGTTTTGTTTTCGCTCATCGCCTCTCTCCTGTCTGCAGTCCGTAGCCTCGGACATGCGCTTCGAGCTGTTCACGCAGAGCAACGTCAAACAGAACTCCAAGCGTCAGCGAGTCATCAACTCGCGCTACAGAGAGGACTACATAGAGCCGGTCATCTACAGAGCCATCATGGAGTGACTCCTTCCATCACTATGGAAACGTTAAAGCCTTCATGTCCTGCGTTTCATTAACAAACAGCCGCTCCTCCTCCTCCTCTTCTTCCAAAGCCTCCCAGGCTTCATATTTATAAACTACGGCTGGGACTCAGTGACTCGCGCTTTAATCCATCACTCTGCTGTCCGCTCTTATTTTTCAGTTTTCTCAGGAGGAAGCCATTAATCCTAAATGTCAGCAACAGGTGGGTTAGCTCACCGCTACGTGCAGCTTTCCCAATGACGTCGCAGCTGTTTATTATTCACTTTTAAGTACGTTTTGTTTGTTTAATTCATGCATTTTTTCTCTTTTTCAACGGTTTTTGAAATGATCACCCTGCAGGATTTTATAGATTAAGGATTTTTTTTCCAGACTGATAGTTCCTCCATGCTTAGATTGATCAAACAAAGCGAACGGGAAGCGGTTTAGGCGCGGCGTCGTTCTTCAGGAAGGTTTTTTCTAAGCCGACTCTCGTTTCTGTCCCGTGGGTTTTTATAAATACTGTAAATAATAGTGTTACTTTATTTATGCAAAATGCATCGAAATTTGAGAAGAGAGCTATTTTTGTCACATCCTTTTCACGAGCTAAAGAGACCTTCAGATGTATTTATATTTATTAAGCTGATAGGTTTTCAATTTTTTAGCCTTTTCTGTCTCAGTGCTGAAACCTGAAGGCGACGAAGACTCGACTCCAGCTCCTCTTCGAACAAAAGCACTTATTTAGTTTTTGTTTAGAAGCTTTTAATACATTTCTGTCCCCCTTTAAAACTAATTTTTAATTTTTTTTGCCCCTCCGGTGTTTGTGTTTTGATTTCTCGTGGCTGTGGAGCATCAGATTTCAGCTGATATGTTAATTTTTCCTCGTGCAGAAAGGAGAATGAGAAGTAGGACAGTCTGGCCCCCCCAACGCTTGTTTTAGCTTCACCCTGCCGTCGTCTTTAGATCCGAGTCCGCCCAGAAGAACGCTTTAAAAAAAAATGTGTAAGCTTAAACTATTTGAGTAAAGATTGGGATAGAAAAAACAAAAGTGTGTTGCGTCATTTATTTCTCCTCCGCAGCCTTCACTGAACAACAGCCAATCAGAGCAGTTTCTTTTCCTTTAATTTCAGACCTGAAGGCATGCAGCTGTGAACTCCTCCAAAGAAATTCTCACATTCTTTTCCATCGCTGCCAAATTAAGTTAGCTTTGCCTTGATTTACAGCCAACTACTTAGGGAGAATAAATGCCTCTTTGGTTCCGTTCTGCGGTTTCTTGGAATGGATGGTGAATCTGATCAAGTGTTCAAACATCGGAACACCTGGAAAACAGAAAGAGATGCTTGTCCTCAACTCATAGCAGCGGCTCAGAATTAGTGTTTTTTATTTGACTG